GGATTGGACATTGTTTCGTTCTGCTGTGCATGGGGTCGCTATGAGTCGGTTCCGACTCGATGGCACCTGACAACAACAACAACAAGACCAAAGTGCTATAAATTTGGTGAATCAAGCAGTATATTATTAAATATTACTAAATACCTACTGTATTCCCTCATGCTACTAGGAATAATGGAAGACAGCAAAATAAATAAGCTACAATCTATCCTCTCAAGGAACTTAATATAGCACAGAAATAACTTTGGGACCAGTATTTGAATTTTGGTACCCTTCTCCATTTGCTAAGTAATTTGGATAAGTCATTTAACTAACTCATAAATTGGGTAACTAATTAATTATTTCTGGGTGCCAGTTTTCTTGTCTATACAGTAGGTATGACAAGACCTTTCTTGCATAGTTGTCAAGTTTAGAAGTAATGTATTTAAAATATCTAGCAAAATTTCTGGCTCATAGTAAGTGCACAGTGGCTACTGTTATTTATACCTCACAAAGAGTTCTTACTAAATGTTAGTATATTTTCCTTTATGCTTACAGCCACTGACATAAAATTGTTGTCACTATTATATAATATTTAACCTGGAGAAAGTGTCCTTTGTTATTCCTACTGAATCAACAAGTAAGTAAATGAACGCTCATAAAATTCATTTTGACTTGTTAGTACAGATTTCAGTAAGTATACTTGAATGAGTTGGGACTTTAGAGGCTGGGATCTATTTCATCAGAACCATTTGGGTCATAGGTGAAAGCCAATCATAATGACCAAACTTTGAGTATTTGAATAGTAATTTGTCACAAGTTGTCAAACTATTGTTTCAAAGGCAGGGTAACTTTTTATTAGAAAAAAATTTCATATACATAAGTAGAAAGAATAGTATAATGAACTGTCATGTACTACTCATTATCCAGCTCCCAGGTATTAACTGAAGTGTGATTTAGCATAAACATTTCAGTTATAATTATGATACTTTTAGCTCTCTAACAAACATCTCTATTGTTTTTAATCCCATCTGTAAACCTAGTTAAAATGTAGTACAACATTTACTCCTGTTAAGTTTTTTTTGCTTTTATTTGGATTAATATTTAAAGATTTATCTTCAATAAATATCACACAACTTTTTTCAGGACACCTTTTTAAAATCCTAAGATCAAAACAAGAACGTATGGATTTGTAACTTTTTTTTTTTTTTCAAGAGAAAGAATGAAATATGCTGGGTAGAATATATTTTGTTCTGTCTTTGTTTTTAAGGTTTGGCTTGAGCAACAAGTTTGATACTGAATTTCCCTCAATTCTAACAGGGAAGGTAAGTGAGAGTTTGCTTTGAACTTTTCCATTCTAAAAGCATTGTTTTATGGCTTATTTGATATTATGATAAAATAATATTTGGTAAATGGGTAATAAAATGAATCCTGGAAATGTAATGGGTTACACATTAGGCTGCCAACTGCAAGGTCAGTAGTTCTAATTAACCAAGTTTTCTGCTGACATAAAGATTTACAGTCTCAGAAACCCTGTACAGGAGCCTTGGTAGCATAGTGGTTATGAATCGGCTGCTAACCTCAAGGTTGGCAGTTCGAAACTACCAGCTGTTCCATGGGAGAAAGATTAGACTTTCTGCTCCTGTAAAGATTTGCAGCCTTGGAAACCCTGTTCAGGGTCACTATGAGTTGGAACCGACTCCACGGTACTTAACAACAACAATCATCTTTTTCTATCCCCTGCTTCTTCTACATTCAGTAATATTTTCTAGCACTGTGGATCAATATTCAGACTTCCTAGGACTCAAAACTGCTTTGAAAGTCTTACAACAGTACTCCTAAATTTCTATGTCCAAAGGAGAAGGAAAAACATTTACACTCTTTTGACATTACTTGAAAAAGTATGGAAGAGAAGAGAAAAGCCAATCGATTACAAAATAGTCAACTATTCCCAAAGGATTAATTGTTAAATGCTTTGTGGTGATTGTTGACCCTATGCACAATAGAACAAAACAGCCCATCTTGTATCCTTATCACAATTGTCATGTTTGAGGCCATTGCTGCTGACATAATGTCACTCCATCTCCTTGTGGGTCTTCCTTTTTTTTATCTGACCCTCCACTTTAAAGTCCTTTTCCAGGGACTGTTGTTGTAGTTGTTGTAAAGTGTCTTCGAGTCAGTTCTGACTCATAGCGACCCTGTATAGGGTTTCTAAGGAGTGGCTGGTTTGAACAGCCAACCTTGCTTTTCAAACTGACCTTACAGCCTAGCGCATTAATCCACGGCGCCACAACAGGTCCCCTCACTAGGGACTGGTCCCTCCAAATACCATGTTTGAAATATGAGAGACGAAGTCTCACCATCCTTACCTTCAAGTAGCATTCTGCCTGTACTTCTTCCATCACAGAATTTTTTTTTTTTTTCCTGGCAGTCTGTGTCCATTCTTCTATGGTCTTCCTTATTCATTGTCCAGCTTTCACATGCATATGAGGCTATTAAAAATACCATACTTAGGTCAGGCACACTTTAGTCCTCAAACTAGTATCTTTGCTCTTGAACACCTTATTTAAGGAGGACTTGTGCAGCAGATTTGCTCAATGTAATATGTCATCTTAATTCCTTGACTGCTGCTTCCATGAGTGTTGACTGCAGATCAAAGCAAAATAAAGTATTGGATAACTTTAATCTTTTCTCCATTTATCATGATGTTATTGATTGGTCCAGTTGTGATGATTTTTGTTTTCTTACACTGAGGTACAATCCATACTTACGACTGTGGTCTTTAATCTTTATCAGTAAGTATTTTAAGTATTCTTCACTTTCAGCAAGCAAAGTTGTATCATCTGCATATCACAGGTTCCTAATGAATCTTCCTCCAATCCTAATGCCACACTTCTTCATATAATCCAGCTTCTAGGATTTTTTGCTCAGCATAAAGTTTGAATAAGCATGGTGAAGGAATACAGTACTGGCACACACCTTTCCTGATTTTTGTCCCATTCATTATTCACTTGTTCCGTTCCAGCAACTACCTCTTGGTCTGTGTACAGGTTCCTTATGAGTGCAATAAAATGTTCTACAATACCCACTTTTAGCAATGTTATCCATAGTTTGTCATAATCCACAAAGGCAACAACCTTTACATATCAATAAAACGTAGGTATTCTTTGCTTTCAGTTAAGATCCATCTGACATCAACAATGATATCCGTAGTTCCACATCCAGCTTGAGTTTCTAGCAGTTCCCTGCCATTTTTAAATTAAAATTTTACTTACATGTGGTACTATAATGATATTGTTCAACGATTTCCACTATCCATTGGGTCATCTCTCTTTTGAATGGCCACAAATGTGGATCTCTTCTAATCAGTTGGTCAGGTCTTCTAAATTTCTTGTGCATGAGTGCTGCATCAATTTGTTGAAAGATTTTGATTTGTATTCTGTCAATTCCTGGGACCTTGTTTTTTCCAATACCTTCAGTGCAGTTTGAACTTCTTCCTTCAGTACCATTGACTTTTGATCTTATGCTACTTCCTGAGATGGTTGAACATTGATCTTTTCTTTTTGGTACAGTGACTTTCTGTATACTGTCCATAATTTTTTTTTTCAGTTTTTCTTTTGAATTGAGTGATAGTTTACATGGGAGAACATCAGCTATACATTCATCCTATAATATTTTGTTTCATTGCAGTGACTGCATTCATCACCATTCAGCATTTCCTTCCATTCCCTTTTTTTTTTTTTTTTTTGGTTGTACACCAAAGCACTCAGGAATATATAACCATTCAAACAACCAAAGGCATACCCTGCAAGCCTGCCTTCTGGCTGCCAGCACATAGCTTGTCTCCCTCCTTAAGTCTAGAGTCACCAGCTGCTCCATCTTTCCACATCATCGTTTCTGCCTCCATCTTTGGCGGCGCTGCTTCTCTGGATAGGGTCCTGCTCTTCTCCCTTTATGTTTCCAGGGTCCTCTGCTCCTGGACTGCAAGATCAACCACTCCCCTCCTTTTCTTACAAAACATCTACCTTTACATTTGCAACAATTACAATCAGTCCTGATAACAATTATTCACTATTGAACCACAAGAGTCTTATCCCCATCTCCTTCTACCAGCCCCATCTAGACAGGTTGGAAACCACTCAGTAGAGATTCTACCTTCCCGCTCACCCTCTGAAACTAAGATCCCTTTTGAAAACTTGCAAGCCAGTCACTTCTTGCATTTATAGCCCTCCCATTTTGGGTATCCAATGTCTAAGTTGCCCATTCCTGTCAACCCTGTGTACAGAGGGGATGGGAATGGTCCTTACTGTAAAGATTCGTTCCCTCTTTTTTAAGCTATTACATCCATAAGTATAGGTCAAGTTCATCAAATTGTAGCGGATTACACTTTTTCCCCTCTTCTTTCTTCCTCTAGTCGAGTTCTGATTATCTGACCATTGAAGCTAGGCCAAACGGGTACTATCTGCAAGTATGGGCGTTCTTGCACATCTCCCTTCACTTCCTTTTAGCTGGATGCTTCACTCTCCGCTCTAGTCCTCTGTGGCTTGGGAGTCCCCAGGTCTTTTTATACTGCTGGCCAACCATATTTCAATCCAGGTTGATAGGCATCTGTTGAACATGGTCAGACTTAGCCAATAGCTTCATTGCTGTTTTTCCCCCACTTCCCCTGTTGGTAGACCAACGTTGTCACCAGCAAGATTACATATCTGATCATGTATTCCCTTTGAGTTTCAGTCTTGGAACGGGGTTTGCCCTGGTGGACTTGATTGGTTGCCTTAATGGCTACCCTGGCGAACAACTTGTTTATTCTTGTAGTAGTCAATCAGACTGCCATTATTGTTTTTGATTTTTCCTGCTGATCTTTCTTTCAAGAAATATTTTCTGTTCCTGTAGCTGCTCCAAGCTGGTCAGCTTGTCTTTTCACATTGAATTTCCCACCTCAGAAGATTCTGGATGGGAATCAGCCACCTAAGATCTTATACATTGTAAAAGCTATACAGGAAGCCTCTTTCACTGGGCAGGTTCTAGCCCCATTTTATGTATTCCAATCAGTTATAGGCTGAAGATGGACTTATAAGCTTTCAATAGTGATGTTCCTGGCTGTTCCTTTCTCTCTCCTTCAAGTGTGTATTTTACAATAGTAGGCAAGGGAAACCAAGATTCATAAGACAGTCGAGCATCTTAACATTATTTCCTCTTTTTTACCCATTGAAACTATGCCTCACAGAGCCCTGATGTTCTAAGGTTGAGCATACATCACTACCTGTGTCCGATTTCTTCCATCTTCTTTTGATGTTTTCTGCATCATTCAGTATTTTTCCCATGCATTATTGCAATTCGAGGCTTACATTTTTTTCTTCAGTTATTTCAACTTGAGAAATGCTGAACAGATTCTTCTCTTTTGGCTTTCTAACTACAGGCTTTCTCGAGATGCCCTTTGCTATTTTCTGTTCAGGTCTTTTACGTCCTCATTTCTTCCTATCACTCTCTCCACTGGAGAGAAAGTTTCAGAGTCTCTTCTAACATTCATTTTGGCCTTTTCTGTGTTTCTTGTCTTTTTAATAATCATTTGCTTTCTTTCTATATGGTGTTCTTAATATCATCCCACACACCTTCTGGTTTTTGATCAAAAGTGTCTAATGCATCAAATCTGTTCTTGAGATGGTCTCTAAATTCAGGTAGGATATGTTCGATGTCATATTTTGACTCTTGTGTACTTGTTTTAATTTTCTTCAGGTTCATCCTGAGTTTGCATATGAACAATTGATGGTCTGTTTCATAGTCTGCCCTTAGCCTTGTTTTGGCCAATGATATGGAACTTTACCATAGTCTCTTCCCACAGATGTAGTAAATTTGATTGCTGTGTGAAGTCCAAGCCTATATATATGTATAATCTGGTGAGGTCCAAGTGTATAGATGCCACCTTTTATGTTGTTTAACAAAGATATTTTCAATGAATAACTCATTGGTCTTTCAAAAGTCTTTCATGCTATCTCCACCATAATTTCTATCACCATAGCCATATTTTTCAACTACTGACCCTTCTTGCTGTTTCCAACTTTTGCATTTCAGTCACCAGTAATTATCAATACATCTTGATTGCATGTTTAATCAATTTCAGAATGAAGAAGTTGGTAGAATTGTTGAATGCTTTGATAGCTAAAATGATTGTTTGGTGTTAAAAGAAATGAATGTTTTGCATTTTGAAGCCTGTAATTTAATTTCATTTTAGATTTCCTTTCAGATTAAATTAAAAGTTTAATATTGTTGTTGTTGTTAAGTGCCGTCGAGTCGATTCCAACCCTGTATAGGATTTCCAGGGAGC